AAAAATAGGCATACTAATGGAACCCATTCCTTAGAGTTATGAGGATTCAATAGACCATGTATTGGAAGTTCGTAGTATGTAATAAGTAGTGGTAAACATTGAATGTTAATGGTGCTAATTTTGTTGTTACTGGGATATGCTTTCTAGCTCCTCTTTCTTTATTTTTGCTGTGTCTTGTCATTTCCACAGGTCCAAATGTAACCCAACAGTCAAGATTTATTTTATATTCTTGCTTCATAAAATTCTTTCTTTATGCCCTCGGTTGGGATAGCTCCTTTCTCTGAATACTTAATCTGCATCTCTTCCATGGTGTTTATATATCCCTTCTTACCCTTTATCATGACAGTATGAATGTATGTAGGAGAATAAGTATTTGTGTGTAAACTTCCAGTGAGTAGATATATATCTGGTTCATAAGTATAGTTCACTCAGTATCTCATAGAATGCTTTGTACATAGTAGGTTCTCAGTGTTCATTAAAGAATAAATGGTCCATGAGGAATCTTAAGTGACACAAATGTCTATTTACTAGGTGACAACATTCTTTCTTAATGCTTTAGTTGGCAGGGGAAAGTGACATTACTGGCTATTCTATGTGATGCTGGCATGACACTAGAAAGATACAGCATATGGTTTTGATTTTAATAGCCATAGCAGCATGTGATTAGCAGACTCATCCATTTTGGAAGTTTCAATTAGTTTAGCTTTCTTTCTCTCTCTTTCTTTTTAAAGATTTTATTTGTTTATTTAACAGGCAGAGATCACAAGTAGGCAGAGAGGCAGACAGAGAGAGATAGGAGGGGAAGCAGGCTCCCCACCGAGCAGAGAACCTGTGTGGGGCTCAATCCCAGGACCCTGGGATCATGACCAGAGCTGAAGGCAGAGGCTTTAACCTACTGAGCCACCCAGGCACCCCCAATTGAGCTTTCTTTAACCATATTACAAAGTTCCCCAGTTAGGCTGTTGTATCAACCAACCATGGGGCTTACATTTACCAAGAAAAGATTCACCAACACTTCTTTCACATTTGTGATTTCAAGATCATGCACATTCATTTTTGATTCTAATGCAGCACCAATTATTTTGGCCTTGGCTCAGACTATTCTCAATATACAGATAATTCTATTTTATAGTGACATAAAATAAACCTTTAATTCTAAATGTCAGACACGGAAGAGGGCTCAAAGGTCATCTGGTCCTCACTATTCATTTTATTGAAGGCTGACATAAGAAGAGGTGAAATTATGTTCCAAAGCTACCTAGGGAGTACCAAAGGTGCAGAGATGGGGCAGAGATGGGGCAAAGCCTAAATTCCCCCTCTCTAACTTCTTATTCTACTACACTTCCCCTAAGTAATCTGCACATCTAAATAATTGGTGTATTTCTGATGTGAATGGTAACTTTGCTCCTGAAATTTCTTCACCTTCAGCTATGCAGCAGGCCTGCATCTGAGAGAGAACAAGGCAATTGATACAAAATAGCTTCCTATAATTATAGAAAGACATAGGAAGAAACAGTTAACAGTATTGATGAAGGGGAAAGAAAACTCAAAGGAGATAGTCTTTCACTTAATTAGCCCCCAAAAGCAAACAATGAATCTGTCTTGGAATGGAGATGTCAAGGCCGTCCCAGCAAGTGGTGGGACTCTCACTCACACCAAGGAGATGGAATTGGGCCTGGAGAGGCCGTCTTCAGAGATGTCAGGAGCCATACCTACAAGACTAGGCAGCATACACTTCAGGGACCACCCCAAATTCTTTAGGAGTGAAAATGAGCGCTTTGATTCCAGAGGCACAGTTTTTCATTACCTAGAATGTGCCTCAGTGTCAAGGGCTTGCTGGAGACTGGGAGAGAATTTGTATGGTGAGGTCTCTGTTTTCAGGGAACTGAGTCTAGTAGGTAAGACATAGTCATTAAAAATGACCAAATACTATAATGGAAGTTCACCTAGAGTACTAGGAAAGAAAAGAGGTGTCAGCAACTCCCTCTTTTCTTTCTTTAAGTTATTCTTCTTATTAGTTTTAAATTATGGTTTGAAGGTCTAAATGCTTTTATTCTAGATGGAATTAATAAATTATACGTCTAGTGATATAAGGCACACTTTCGCAACATGATCTCAGTTAGGTTTGAAAGTGTTAATACTCTTTTATGTATGAAGAGGCCGAGAATCAGAGAGTTTAAGTAATTTGCCCAAAGATGTTACCAGCTGGTTTTTGGTGGAGTTGAAACCAGGTTGCCTGATTTCCAATCCAGTGCTCTCCCCACTGTATCTTAGGGGAAAGAAGTGAATTACAGGGAAATCATGACTTGCTGGGCAAATTGAGAGCAGATCAGCTCCCGACCATCTAAATATAGCTCTTTTGTATATAACACACATGGATATTACTTCTTCGTTATTGTCAGAGGAGAAATGGATTTAGGTTCTGGGGTTGAGATTTGGTTTTGTGACCTCATTAGGGGCACTGTTTCCAAAGAACTGTTTGCCATCTTTCCTTTCACACGTTTAACGTCATTGTTGTAGTTTTGTTAAGTGAACGAATAAACAAACAAATGAAATTCACAACCTCAGATTTAAGCACTCCTTTTTCTATTCAATTCCTCACACACAGGTTTCACAACAACTCAGGCTTGGGCATTTTTCCCCTGAAGCAATTACAAATCTATTAGTCCCCATTTTTATTCTAAAGCCATGGAATCTGCCTCACTTATGACTAGGTAGTGGCCATATCTTCCTACCTCTGCTCTTGTATGTATATCTTGTGAAAAGTGGTCTTGAGGCTGGGATTTGCAGACCCGAGAAATTTCATTGAAATGTAC